TATTAAACAATATATAATAAATTGTATCTGTGAGATTGAGATTTAAATTATATTCAATAAAAAAAAAACATTTGTTGTGTTAATAAATAAAAAAAAAAAAACAGGTGCCTTTCTTATACCATTTTTCGTGATGCTCATCCTCGAAGGGGTACCATTATTTTTAATCGAATTGGGTCTTGGACAACGAATGCGACAGGGTGCCCTTGGTGTTTGGAATACGATACACCCCTGGTTAGGTGGTATAGGAATAGCCTCCTGCATTGTCACCTTCTTCGTTGCACTTTATTACAACGTCATTATTACCTGGTGTTTCTTCTACCTCTTCAATTCTCTCGAGGTGAGTTTTATTTCATCTTAAATTTAATTATATAATGACAATTATTATTATTATTATTATTATTATTATTATTTTGTGGATATGTTCTGCATTTTTATGCAGTACGTTTTTTCTTATTCTCGTAGTTTTTTGATTGATTATAAATTGATTCGCGGTTAAATTTCATTAATTATTAATATATTAATTTATATAAGTGATAATTTATTATTTATATTATATTAATCGATATTGGATATATATTGTATAAATAATTTCGTATAATAATTGTCGTTAGAAAGGATAAGAAAAAACAACCGTGTGTTAATTTGTTTTTTTCTTTTTTCATATTTTTTTAAAAATTTGTACCAATTAATTGTAACAATATTAATAATAATATGATTAATACTAATTAATAGAAACGACTAAAATGAACTAACGAGTACAACCACACACGTATTATTTATTTCTTTTACTTTATTATTCTTCAGCAAAAAAATATAAAAAAAAAATACGTAAAGAAACCTAAAGAGAGAAGTATGGGGTTAAAAAAAAGAAAAAAAGAAACCTCGTAGTAGTAATTAAAAAAAACAAAAAAAATCAGAAGGAATGTGCTTCTTCTTTTGTGTTAATTGTGTTAAAACTAATCGAATACTATTTTTCTGTTTTTTTCCAACTCGTGCGCGCGCACCCCCATAGGCAGTCACAATTAATTTCGGCGTAAGTACCCCTAAAACAGTGTCAGCTTGTAAAAAAAAGAAAAACAAAAAAGAAATAAAGACAAAATAGAAAAAAAATATGAAATTAAGTGCATATATAGAAAGCGAGAAAAAAAAAAACAAAAACGAAAGAAATCTTTTTTTTTCTTTATCGTCACCAATTCACACAACAAATTTTCGCCGCATAACAAAGAAAATTCATTTGAAATATTTCATATTTATTTTGCAAATAAATATATATATATATGGGTCATTCCATGTCAAATCGACAAATTTTTTACCTGACCCCCTTTGATTTCTTCGCTGAAAATTTTCTATGTTTTTCTAACCCCCGAAAGTTATTTTTAAGAATTTTTTCAAATTTTTTTTCCTGACTCAAAAAAAGTTATGAATTTTTGAAAAAAAAACCGCTCTTTTATTTTTAAATTGCCAGAACTTTTTCAAAAATTGACCGTTTGGGAACATTTTTTTTATCAAAATTTTTTGGACGATAATCACTTGAAATTCTCCAATAAAATTTTATTTTTCAATTTTTGTGGTTTCACGAGGAAATAAAACAAAATTTCATAACAAAGTTATATAAAATAAGCAAAAATTCAAAAACAATTTTTTTATAATCAAGAAAAAAAATTAGAAGCGATTGTCGTCACATCTTTTAATTAACGGGGATCATTGCAGAATTAGTTGAAGTATTTTTAGAGCAAAAAAAAAAAAAAAAAAATAAACGGTCGGACTTTGAGAAAATTACGGGTTTTTCAAAAAAACTAAAATATTTCATATATCTGGGATTCTGAAAATTTATTCATATTTTTTTTCGAAAACTACATTTAGAAACAAAAATTTTGAAGAAAAAAAAATTCCCAAACGGTCAATTTTTGAAAAAGTTCTGGCAATTTAAAAATAAAAGAGCGGTTTTTTTTTTCAAAAATTCATAACTTTTTTTGAGTCGGGAAAAAAAATTTGAAAAAATTCTGAAAAATAACTTTCGGGGCGGGGGGTAGAAAAAGATAGAAAATTTTCAGCGAAATCAAAGGGGGTCAGGTAAAAAATTTGTCGATTTGACATGGAATGACACCCATATATACACTTGCATCCAACAACAACCATTTTAATCGTCGTCTTGCGATTTGCAGCAAAAAATCGTTTCATCGTTCTTCCAGTATTTTATCAAACAACAATCTGGAAGAGTGACGATTTTTTTTAGGGGGACAAAATTGTTTAAAAAAATTTCTTTGACGAGAATTGACAGATTATTTATGGTGTTCCCCATCGTTGTAGTTTTAATTAGATGAGACGACGAAGAGACAAATTATTTTTTTTTGTTTTAAATTCGTTCGCGTACACAAAATTAATTAATCTCTAAATTAAATATTCGTTAAACATCATTATCATTGTCATCATTTTTGTTTTTTTTTGTTTTTTTTGTATTACTCTACTTCATTTTAATAATAATCGGTCTTATTTGTTTACGCTATTAAACTTCGTTTGCTTTTTAATATGAAATTAATAGGATAATCTTTGAAACGCTTAAAATCTGCTTTGCAAATTCATTCGACAAACAAATATAATTCAACATCGATCCTCGTAATATTTTCAATAATCATCATCATTATTATTATAACGTCATCGTCATCGTCATCGTTTTATGTGATCACAAAGATTACAATTTTTGCATAACAAATTAAATTACCCTTTCTTCTATCGTAATTCACATGTTCAATTCGTTGAATTATGATTAGACGAGAAGGATAAATTTGAAAACGCGAATATTGTTATCTCTTGTTATCTCGTTTATCGTCTTTTTTTTTTTCTTTCTTTTCATAACCTTCCTTCAACTTCTTCTTTTTTTTTTAATCTTTGATAAAATACTCGATCAATAATTATCCGCAATCTCTGTTAAATTATAATATATTTGTATTATTATAATATTGAGATTAATTTTTGATTGTCTACCGTCAAACGTATAAATAATATAATATTTCATCAAATGTGTGATAATATAATATAAAACATGTTTTAAAAGTATTACATAAAAGTAAAACAAAAACCTGATGTGTGTACTTTTATGTACGCACGTAAAAAGTTATATAACCTCAAAAATAATTTCAATTTTCCCGCGCATCTTAAATATCGACAACTTCGTGGTATCGATTTTTCGGTCGCACCTAACCTCACTTTTCAAAACGCGCCAAAAGTAGTATAACTTCAAAAAAAGACAAAAAATATAAGAATGCACACAAACGAAATAAAATTGCTGGATAATTATTGGACTCATTATAGTTGATCACGAACAAAGTAAGTACCCATTTAGTATTATTTTCCTATTTAGTAAATCGGCCATGAAAATTATCATGAATTTCATAAACATCAAACGCACGTATAAAATACATATATATATAAATATACAGGATGTCCCATTTAAATAGATCCACTTAAATATTTTCTAAACTATTGATGGTAGAGAGAAGAAAAGAAACAAATGTGTTAGATAAAATAGTTGAATGGTTTCAATACATTTACTTAGGAAATCAAAATTCACACGAATTGGTGTGCATTTAAAAAAAAAATATATTATTTCATTTATAACATATTAAACTCTCTAACACCAAAATTTAATAAAAAAAAAAAACATATTCATATAGAACGAGATTTTAATTAAATATATAATTAACAATATATACCCATATTTTATTTATAAAATGAATAATAAAACCATTACACATAAGTTTTCATCGAATCTTTTAAAAATTACCACGTCTGATCATATTACATTTAATTAAATAAAAATCAAACTTGCCTGTGTCATTAATAATCATTAATAATATCAAATAATGTGGCATCCTTAAACAAATCTACTTTTATCTAACACCTATACCTTTTTATTTCTTTCTTCTACCCCATCAATACAACAATTTATCAAATATTTAAATGAATCCAATTAAATATAGGACACCCTATATATATATATATATATATATATATATTTAAATAAATTCAAATAAAAGCTTACTATTTAAAATAAGCTGCAATCGGATATCGTCGAAGTTAATCATTAGCAAATCCGGAAATTGTTCATTGTTTTGTGGTGACCGATATCGAAATTCTGACGTAATCCAGGCACCACTGCCATGGGCGAAGTGCCCGGAGATCAACGAGAAACCGGTAGAAGAATGTGTCAAGAGCTCTGAGACAGCTTACTTTTGGTACAGAACCACCCTGGATGCGGCACCATCAATCGAGGAAGGATCGTCCCTAAAATGGTGGATCGTTATGTGCCTTTTGCTAAGTTGGATCGTTGTCTTCTTTATCGTCATGAAGGGAATACAATCATCGGGCAAGGTAAACAAACTAACCCCATACTAACCCCATACCAATCCCAAATCAAACGAATGCATTTAATTTTACATTACGGTGTTAAACCCTTTGAGTGCTGTTAACGCATTTATGCGTTTGGTAAAAGAGTTTATACGCGTGTTGTGTGAATATAAAATAATAATAATAATATTTAATATAATAATATTAACCCTTCTTTGCATGATGATGGAAATATTCAATCATAATATTTAGTCAACAAAAAAAGGTACTCAAAACCCTTGTACTGTATATTTGTTGTTGCTGGCAACTTTTTAAGCGACTATTGCGTACAACAAAACGCAGTTGTCAAAAAATAGCACTAGGACTTTTTTTAAATATTTTTCCTTTAATCTAGAGC